CGAAGTTACTTCCCCGAAGTGGAAAAGCAGTGGTGAGAGCTCATCATCTGGGTCAGACTCTACTCCCCCGTCAAGTCCTTCACGAAGGACTACGCCACAGTGGTCAAATGTCTACACTGTGATACCCACTATGACAACAAGCACCACATCTAAGGAAGAACAAATCGCCCATCTAACTAAGGTCATCGAGGGGATGAATATGTTCATGCAAGCTCAAGATTAGAAGTTGAAGGATTTGAATAACAAAGTAGAAAGCTTGAAAGGTGAGTCGAGTTATGCTCCTGAGAAGGATCTGAAGTGCATGAAGATAATGATCCTCACCAAGAGGATTCAGGAAAGAACATCTCAACCTCTGGGGGCATGATCCCAATTGATCAACTCAAAGACTTCATCATAGGAACCATAAAGGGGGAGATAGAAGGAAGTCAATCTACTTACTCCTATGTTAAGCCATACACTCAAAGAATTGAAGACCTAAAGATGCCCAATGGTTATCAACCGCCAAAGTTCATCCAATTTGACAGAAAGGGAAACCCACGACAACATGTTGCCCATTTTGTGGAGACTTGCAATAATGCGGGAACAAGCGGAGATCATCTTGTCAAGCAGTTTGTGCGTTCCCTAAAAGAAAATGCCTTTGACCGGTACACTGACTTGGAGCCTGGTTCCATTGATAGTTGGAAAGACATGGAATGTGAGTTCTTAAATCGTTTCTATAGCACAAGGAGGATGGACAGTTTACTCGAACTAACGACTACTAAAGATGAGCCCGTGATAGCTTACATAGAGCGTTGGAGGGATCTTGCTCTTAACTGCAAAGATCAGATTTCTACCATCTCCGCTATTGACATGTGCATTGAAGGAATGCATTGGGAACTATGTTACATTCTTAAGGGAGTTAATCCAGGCACTTTCGACGAGCTAGCAAGCAAAGCTCGTAACATGGAGTTGAGCATTGCAAGTAATGGAAGGAAAACCATGGGTATGTATCCCATAAACAATGTTGTTGAAAAACAAGATACCAAGAATGGGGGAAAGCCCTTTTCAAAGTTCAAAAAAAGGAAGCAATGGTCGTGAAGGCTGCACCTGTTAAGGTCTTCACTCAAAATTCAAAGAAAGTTTTTACGGTTGATTCGGAGGTCTCGAAACGCGTTAAACCATTTTTAGAAGAGATGTTAGAAAAGAAGTACCCTTTCTTAGACTCTGACATTCCTCCCATGTTTGAGGAGTTGATGAGATTGAATCTTATCAGTTTGCCCGAGTCCAAGCGACCCGAGGAAGCTACAAACTTTGATGACCCCAACAACTGCAAGTATCATCGAATTCTAAGTCACGCCAATGAGAAGTGTTGGGTGCTTAAAGATGAAATTATGGCCCTGACTCGTGAAGGAAAGATTGAGCTCGCCGATCCTGCTGCAAGCACAAACCAAATTGCAATCACTTTTGGAATGTTTTCTCCACTCATAGTCAAAGATGACTCCAATGAAGTGACTAAGGGCTTTCATAATCGAAGACTTCCTTTTACCATCAAAGGAATGGAAAAAGACTCTCATTTCAACAAAAGCATGAGAGATGAAGATGATAATGACAAAGAAGGGCCATGGATCTTGGTAGCTCGAGATAAACAAAAGAAAAGTCACAAATTCATTCTGTCCCTTGAGACGAGTGTGAGGGAATGGGTTAAGATAAAGGAGGAAAACAAGCTCAGGTCAAAGAAGGCAAGAAAGAGTATTGTGTATCCCAAAGTTGTGCGAAGACCAAATACTCCTTATGATTATATGACAAAGGATTTCAAGAATGAGATAAATCAAATATTGAGTTCTTGCATTAGCACTCATGAAAAAGAAGTTGAGAGCTCAAACAAATGCTCATCACCAGCTTCAGCTAATAAAGAAGATCTAGAAACACAGAAGTCTACCTCGTATGCTACTGATATTGTCTTTAAAGACGAAGATCTTATGTTGGGTGCCACCCCCCATAATCGCCAACTTTTGTTGAGGGATATACTTGTGGACAAAGATTTAAAAGAATCATGATTGACCAAGGATCCGTTGTTAACATCATGACAGTTCGGGCTATGAAAGACCTTGGAATATCAATTGATGAACTCTCCCAAAGCCGCTTGATGATTCAAGGCTTCAATCAGGAGGGGCAAAGGGCAATTGGAATGATATGCCTTGATTTGGTCATTATCAGGCTGAAAGCAAGTACCTTATGCCATGTTATTGATGCAAAAACTTCATACAATCTTCTTTTAGGTCGCCCGTGGATCCATGAAAACGGTGTAATTCCTTCAACATGGCACCAATGCCTTATGTATGAAGAAAATGGTGTTGTGAAGAAAGTGATCGGTGATGAGACTCCATTTACCGAGGTCGAGTCCTACTTTGCAGATGCAAAGTTTTACTTAAAGACAAAAGTGTTTAAAGATAATGATGCGAAATGGAATGATGTTTATCGCCCTTTGACTGAGCCCAAATTGAAACAAAAGCTTGTTGAAGGTGTGGAGGGGCTCATGTTTACTCTTGCACAGATTGAGATATCAAAACCTCCTCAAAAGGCCCCTAAAGAGGAAGCTGAAAAGAAATGTGATGCTAAGCTCCCTAACACACGTACGAAAGAAGGATTTGATCCAAACGCATATAAACTCCTAGCCAATGCTGGCTATAATCCTAACGAACAGAAGTTAGGGAAACTCATTTCAGAAGCTGGTGGAGAAGGGGCATTGAAATAGATCAATCTCCAAGGATATGGAGGATTGGGTTATGTTCAACCGAAACCAATCAGGATCCTCATAAATAGAGCCGCAACACATCGTATCAGTGCTGATGAAGAAAATGAAGTGACTTCTAAGCCAAAGTACTCCGTATTCGATTAGATTGGGGGAGCAAAATCGAGGCCCACCATCTTTGATAGATTGGGTCCAAAGCCAAAGACGGTTATGAAGAAGTTTTTACAAGGACGGCTTGAAAAGAGCCCGATGATGTTGAAACACGCTGAAGACCCATGATGGGACAAAACTTCAGAAGAAAGTTTGTTCATGAAAGATTGAGATTGGAACATGAATGCAATAAATTTGCTAAAGTTCCTCTCGAAAAGCAAAATCTAAATGAGTATAGAAGTTTTATACCATCTCGTATGAAGTGAGAAATCGATGTGAAACTAACCTATGGAAATACACTTAAAGTAAAACCAGTGACCATTGTGCGCACTCGTAGTCAATATGAAGACCAATATGTGAACTCCTGCATTATCAACTTTGAGGATACAGTACCCTTTATGTCGGGGTATGCATATGACCAAACAAAATGTTGAATGCCTAAACCACCAATGATGTTGTAAGTGGCTAAACTGCTAAAACATCTCACTTTGTCTATGGGTGAGCATAATCATAGATACTCTTGGCCCACGAGAGTTACAAAAGTGTACAGCAAGCTCTTGGCCCACGAGAGTTAAAAATGTGTACGACAAGCTCTTGGCCCACGAGAGTTAAAAATGTGTACGACAAGCTCCTGGCCCGCACGAGTTAAAAATGTGTACAGTCCCTTCAAATTACCAATTCAAATGGTATTTTTGAACTACCATTTGAAAGTTAAAACTGTGTACAGTCCCTTCAAAAGTTTCATTTTTTAGTTCAGTTATAACAAAATAAATCCCAATTAAGTCATTTTGTCAAAGAGAATATCAGAAGAAGGCTTACGAAAAAAAGACAGATGAATAACAAAGGCTTTGGGAATTCTTTAATCTCCTCCTCATCAGAAGTGGATTGAGTTGAGCTTTGAACGGCGTCTCCACAACGACGCCAACAACGGAGCTGGTGGCACCGACAGCAGCATCAGCGATGGTGTCTCTTGAAATTTGAACGACGCTACCATCTCAACATTGGAGCAGGTGGTGCCGACGACAGTAGCATTGATGGAGCATCTAAAGCTTTGAACAACATCATCATCTTCTTCACGATGACTAAGGGCAACACCATCGTTTGAAATCCGCAAGACCGCTTCAAGCTCCTACAAGACCGCTTCAAGCTCCCGCAAGATCGGTTCAAGCTCAGCAAGACCGCTTCAAGCTCCTGTAAGACCGCTTCAAGCTCCGGCAAGACTGATGTGCACTTTGTCATGGTGTGCACTCAAAAAAATAATCAATACAACAATTATACGTAGTATAATGAAGTAAGGTTCGTATCCACAGGAAAAGGAATACTTCTCTTTTAATTAAAAAGTAACAAGGGGGTTTTTAGATTGTTTTTTGGAACTTTAAGAATATATAAACACTAAGATGAATGACTTATGTGTTTTAATTAATAGAGATGAAGACTTGGTTTTGCTTTTATCCACTTAATGAAATGTTCGTCGATCCCGGTTATATCTTTAACTATCTTCCTCTCGAATAATCAATCGAGGAGTATCTCCAATTCATCGAGGGTAGTTACTAATAACGAGACGCGTTCATTAATAAAACTTCTACAGAGTCAATAAAGAACACACGTCGTATATCAACCCGACAGTAGCAATAAACTTAAGATGAAAACGATTGAGATTGATGACCTCAACACAAGCGGTTTATTGGTTTAATCAATATAATTAATTCCTCTTAGATTATTAACCATGAGACGCATGCATTAATAATCCAAGTTTACTACCGTTGAAAGAACCGAATTAATAACAAGCGTATTAATCGATTGATTCTAGTAATAATTAATATATGAAAAAAACTAGTTGATCCTTTAAGTAATGTTCAAAATACTAATATGAAATATGAATAAGAATTAATTAATATTCAAGGAAGAAGATTAAATCAAATAAATGCTATCATAATTAATGTCGAGATGTTAACTAATTGTCATCTTAGCAACACTCCCAACATTAATATAGAGATAGATTAAAGGAAGAATTAACATTCAAGGAAGAAGATTAAAGAAAAATAACTCACAACTTACAATCCATTAAACTTCAAAGTAGCAAAACCAAGATGGAAGAGTTTAGCTCCTCATTTGGAGACTAAATATGCTAAAAATATAAAGAAAGAACTTATCTAGACTGAGCTTAGAAGTGTATAGGAATTGGTGATTTTATTGTGAAGGAAAGGGGTGTATTTATAGGCTTTTGGGAGGTGCAGGGTCTGATACCCGATCGGGTATATAGCATACCCGATCGGGTATATAGCATACCCGATCGGGTATATAGCATACCCGATCGGGTATCGGCAAGAAAGATTTCGAGTTGGATAAAATACTTATACCCGGTCGGGTATGTCGGCATACCCGATCGGGTATGTGACAAATCTTTACGAAATCTTCCTCCCACGATCATTTGTTCCCGAATTTGATTTGGACAAACAAATCAAGCAAATACTCGATCGGGTATTGCCTATACCCGACCGGGTATAAGTATTTTATCCAACTCGAAATCTTTCTTGCCTCCTTGCACTTTCCTTGATCTTTTGAGGTCCAATCTTGATCTCTTGGATGATCTTTGACCTGTTTAGCTCAGAATAGTCCTAATCTAAACAAATTACAAATAATTATGAAAATAAAGTATTACACCAAAAGTGTGTAATTTCCACAACTAGAACTAATAAAAACTAGTTAAAATTACAAATATAAACAATAACAATTCTATACTGTTAAAGACCGCTTCAACCTCTGAAAAGACCGCTTCAAGCTCCAGCAAAACCGCTTCAAGCTCCAGGAAATTTCTCTCCGCCGCGTCAGCAAAGCTCAAGCCAGCATCTGCTCCGACATCTCTAACCATTGACCTCCAACGTTGATCTCCTCAACGAGCATGGGGCCAGCATCCCACGCCACTTCTGTCTTCATATTGACAAAATAACCGGTCTTCACTCCGACGAAGTGGTCGACCTTCAAACTGAGAAGTGGTCAGCCTTCACACCGACGAAGTGGTTGGCCTTCAAACTGATGAAGTGGCCAGCCTTCACACCGACGAAGTGGTCGGCCTTCAAACTGACGAAATGACTAGCCTTCACAGTGACGAAGTGGTCGGATTTCAAACTGACGAAGTGACCAGCCTTCAAACCATTGAAGTGGCTGGCCTTCAAACTGACGAAGTGGCCAGCCTTCACACCGACGAAGTGGTCGACTTTCAAACTGGCGAAGTAGTCAACCTTCAGACCGATGAAGTGGTCGGCCTTCAAACTAACGAAGTGGCCCGCCTTCACACCGACGAAGTGGTCAGCCTTCAAACTGGCAAAGCATCCAGCCTTTAAAGCGACGAAGTGGTCGGCCTTCACACCGACAAAATGACCGGTCCTCATAAACGGTGAAATGGCCGCCCTTCATAAATGGAATCAGTAGGGCTTGTTATTCACGGGGCAAGCAGCACCAATGACACCGGCATCCGACGAAACATGGTCTCTCGAAATAATGAACACCCTTAAGGGTTCAATATCTCTAGTAAGTGATAAAACTGGTGCAGCAAAAGGGAAAGGAAATAATAAAATGTCCAAAGCCTTCGAAAGAAATCAGGCCCAATATAAAGTCATATGGCCCAAAGCTCTTTCTAAGGAAGCAGCGGACTCCACTCCAGCAACTCTCGTCATCTTCTCCTTCACAAATAAGCCGCAGCCACACCCGAAAACAACCAACACGGTAAAACAGCATCGGCGACCAGATCTTTGCACTCCAGAGCTTTCCAAACATCGTCTTCTCGACAGATGTGCGAAACAGACAAGAATAGTCAGCAGCCCAGCGAATTAGCGGATAGCAACAGAACAGTGATCGATCGATCTTTCTTCTCGGCAATCACGCGCGTAGACTAAGAAAATAATCAGCAACCGGCGCAAACTCCAACGCAAAGCATAGCTCCACTTCCTTGGTCCTTCTTGGACGGAACTGCAATAGAGGGGAATCTGGAAGAAATTGGCAACATCCATAGCAATCGAACGAGCTCCTCGTAGGCAATCTGCAAAAAAGAAAAGTCTGCTGCAGTTTCTTCTCCTCGCCGGAAATCAATGTCGAGCTCCGCTAGGCCTTCTTCTCCAACAAACGGCACAGCCTTTGCAGCTTCTGGTGGAACAAGCATGGCTGCGGTCTCAGTTCTTTTGCAGCAAATAAAGACCCAACAACACAAAGGATGATGCCAAATTTCTTCTCTCCATTGAGGAAGGGTAATTGTCGATTTAATCAACGATGGAAAACACACTGGTGTTTGTCATGAATGACTTCTGGTGCAAGTGGTATTTGCCTTCGAGAACTTTTCCCTGCAAGTTGACAAGAGAAACAGGAAGATTCAATAGAAAGGAAGAGTAAATATACCTGTTACTCTATTGATCCGCTTCGGCCAGATTCTTGATAAATTGAGTTGTTATTTGTGAAACTCTGGATGCAGAACCTCGGTTCCCACGGGTATTATTTATACGTAAATGATAAAAGAGTCCTTGAGTAGTACTCCCTCTGTCTCTTTAAAATGTTCCTGTTTTCCTTTTTGGATGTCCCGTTGGAAAGTTCTCATTTCCCTAAATGGAAGGTTATCCTACATCAAAACAGGGTCATACAGTCAAAACAGGGTCAAACAGGGCAAAACAGTGTCAAACAGTGTCGAAACAGTGCCAAATAGTGTCAAACAGTAAAATTTACCCTCTGGTAAGTTTATTTCCTTAATGTGTGTAGGTCAAACCGGGAACATTCCAACGGGACGGAGGGAGTATTTATTATCGTGGACTCCTATTGTAATTCTGACTCTTATTATCTATAAATATATCTATCAGAGCTACCATTAGGTCAAGTCTTTTAATTATTCTCGCATGGAGGGCCCCTAATAATTACCAGGCTTGAACTAATAGAGTAGTTTTAATATTATTTATTATTGTGGACTCTTATTGTAATTCTGACTCTTATTATCTATAAATATATTTGTCAGGGCTACCATTAGGTTAAGCCTGGTAATTATTCTCACATGGTATCAAGAGTCAAAACCTTACCTACTCTATTAGGTCAGCCTGGTAATTATTAGGGGCTCTCCATGGCGCTACAGCCACTGCCCCTGAACCTACTTCCCCTGCACACACAGACTCCCCTCCAGCCGCTACTTATAACCCACACCAACCCACAGTCCCCGAACAGCCCCCCACCTCTACTCTCGAGCTCATTGCTTCCTCTCATGCGAGTACTTCTCCGGTTGTTAATATTCATCCTATGCAAACCCGGTCCAAATCCGTAATTTTTAAACCAAAAACAATTTTTAACTTAAGCACAGTTGTTAACACACCTGATCCCACATGTTTTTCGGCCGCCAATAAACATCTTAAGTGGAGAGCCGCTATGGCGGAGGAGTTTAATGCCCTTATCTCGAATCATACTTGAGATTTAGTTCCGTTTGATGCTACTAAGAATGTTGTTGGGTCCAAATGGATTTATAAGACTAAATATTTGGCTGATGGGTCTATTGATTGCTACAAAGCTAGATTGGTTGCACGGGGGTTTAATCAGCAGGTAGGTATTGATTTTACTGAGACTTTTAGTCCTGTTGTCAAACCCACTACTGTTCGTCTTGTTCTTACTTTAACTGTGTCGTTTGGCTGGTCCATCCACCAACTTGATGTCAAAAATGCGTTTCTTCATGGTCATCTTACGGATGAGGTTTATATGCATCAACTGCCTGGTTTCATTCACCCTCAGTTTCCTCACCACCTGTGTCGGCTTCGTAAAGCTATTTATGGTCTCAAACAAGCACCTCGTGCTTGGTTTCATCGTTTTAGTAGTTTTCTCCTTTCTCATGGTTTTGTATGCAACCGGTCAGACAATTCACTATTTATTTTCAGACGCAATTCATCCATTATTTATCTTTTGCTATATGTTGATGATATTATTGTTACGGGCAATTCACCAAAATTAGTCACTCATTTCTTATCTCTTCTGGCTAAATGTTTTGCCATGAAGGATTTGGGGGATTTGCATTTTTTCTTGGCATACAGGCGTCCAGGACTAAGACTGGATTGTTTCTCTCTCAGCACAAGTATATATCTGATCTTCTACTCCGTTTTCACTTTCATACTTTAAAACCTGTTCGCTCTCCTCTCCCTAGTCGCACTAAACTTTCCCTTATTGATGGGGAGCTTCTTGCTGATGCTACGGAGTATAGAAGTATGGTAGGTGCACTACAATACTTAACTTTGACTAGACCAAATATTACTTTTGTTGTACACTTGGTTTCTCAGTTTATGCATGCGCCTCATACTTCACATTTGTTGATTGTTAAGTGTATTTTCAGGTATCTCCATGCATGGGCTTCTCCTACAGGCTTCACGGGAACGTCCAGAAATTATTGCCTATTCAGATGCTGACTGGGCTGCCTGCCTAGACACGGGTCATTCTACTTCTGGTTATGCAATTTTTCTGGGTCCGAATTTGATCTCCTGGCGTTCCATAAAGCAACCAACTCTTCATGTTCGTTCGGTCCTGTTTGAGCTTGGTTTTCCCGTTCGCGATCCCACCACGTTGTATTGTGACAACATTTCAGCATCATATCTCTCAGTTAATCCTATTCATCATGCGAGAAGCAAACATATTAATATTGATTATCACTTTGTTCGTGAACGGGTGGCTCATGGTGATCTGCGTGTATGATATGTTCCCACTAAGGCTCAGCTGGCAGATATTTTTACTAAGTGCTTATCTCCACAACAATTTACTCTTCTTCGTGACAATCTGCGCATTGTCCCCCTGCACAGCTTGAAGGGATGTAATAGAGTAGTTTTAATATTATTAATTATTGTGGACTCCTATTGTAATTCTGACTCTTATTATCTATAAATATATCGATGCCAGGGCTACCATTAGGTCAAGCCTGATAATTATTCTCACAATGATCACAGGCCAAGTCTAACTATACTCCGTAAAAGTCATAGTAGGTCTCATGAAATTGAGATGAATTAAGATGTTGTGTTCTAATAACAATTGGACTCTTCTTAATTTTATTACGTGAGAGTGGCAGTAGGTTACACTTTGCTCAGTTTAATTTTGGATAATCATGAAATATTTCGGCTGCTCGACTTATTCACTGCACGGATGTATTTTATTGGGCTTGATCATGCAATAAAGAAGCTCAAGTTTTAAGTTTGGCTAATAGTTATCGAGTCTGGCCTGGCCTTTTCAGAATGAAAAGTTCAAGCAAGTCTCGAGGGGGCATTTGTGAACATTTAAAATTTAATGGGCCGCTTCTGATGGTCATAGGGCCTCTTCAAATGGTATCAGGCTATTATTGACCTTCTTGGTCCTCTTTTATACGCTATGGACCAACATTGGATTCTACGGGGCTGCTCGTAACAGTTGTTGGGTCTTATCTAAAGGAACATATTAATATAGGTCCATTGGAATAAATTTAGTTATTAAATTAATCTGGGTCATCTAAAATATCTAATTAATTTAATTATAAATTACCTCCTTGAAAGAACGGACCAATCCTATTAATTTTGAGCCCATAATCAAATAATGGCCCAATAAATAAGAGACATGATCCAATATATGAAAAGGAGGACGAATTTAGTTAAGAACTCAGTCCATATGCATGAGAAATAGCTATGAATCTTGTTAAAAAGGTTGTCCAGATACATCGGACAAGTGCTGATTTTTCTAGATATTAAAATGCAAGCAAATAGAGCCCAAAACCCATTTTAATTGAGGCTCGAGGGGTATGGACGAATTTCTGAAACCCTAGGTCATATTTTCACTACCCCCTCCACACCTATAAATAGATGTCTCACTTGAGGGAAAAGGAGAGAGAACTTCCAGTCGAAGAAATGTTGCAGGAAAGCTCCGAAAAACTCCCGAGAGGCTCTGAACGATTCTGAAGAAGAGAAAGAGATCAAGCCACGAATTTTATTAAGAATATACAAATAATCCTTCGTGATTTCGTCGATTCTTGATAAAATAAGTCCAAAAGTTGAAGAACGTTCGAATATTTGAAGAACGTTCGAATATTTGAAGAACGAAGCTCGAAGATTCGAAGATCTAAAGAACAAGACTTTGAAGATTCGCAGATATGAAGAACGAATCTTTAAAGATTTGAAGATATTCATATAAGGATTGAATCAAGATTCAATTGAAGATCAAGCCATATATTCTGGGAGGCCCTTTAACAGAAGATCAAGCCACAAAACGGTCCTTTTGTTGAAGATCAAGACACTTCAAAACTGGAGACCCTTCAAGCTAGATTCTTCATTCAAGAAGATTTGAAGATTCAAAGAATGAAGATTCGAAGATCCAAAGAACAAAACGTTGAAGATTTGAAGATTCGAAGAATGAAGGTTCGAAGATTTGAAGATCTGAAGAACGTTCGAATATTTGAAGAATTAAAGATTTAATTTTAAATTAAGTTATTTAATTTAATTGCAATTGAAGAATCAGAGGATTCATATTTAGATATTGTACCCAATATTCTCACATATTATTATTTGCGATCAATTTTAAGTAAATACTTAAAATTTGTTTCATAGTACCAAACAAGACCTCTGTGTTTAGTGAAAAAGTAACTAATAAGGTTGATAAGCCGAAAAACAATGTTATCAAACGGGTTCATAATCATAATAATTGCAAAATCAAAAACATTTTTGAAAAGTCCAGTGAGTCTGTATTTAAAAATTTTAAAAAAACTTGAGAATAGGGTTAAGGAATTAAAAAATCAATTAATAAATAATAATAACATGTCAACTAAGAAAATATAATTTTTTTCTAGAAAATCAATTCCCCAATTCGATCATATAAAAATAAATTAGTTATAGACTTAAATATTAAGAAAATAAAAATGGAAACAATACAAATTAATAAATTGGGAAAATAATAACTTACCCTAATGTAAGTATGGGGGTTGGGAGTAGATTTTCTAACGCGCGCATTGGACATCGAGCTTTTTTTAATTTTTATGGTTATAAAATTCACCAAGGGCTCAATTAGTAGTTTACCTGTTAAATCTTTGCATGAAAAATGTAAAGAATAAGAAAGGAGAAGGCTTTTGAATTATATATGTGCACACTCAAATTGATTTACAAGTTCTCCTATTTATACAATTAATAAGCATCTCTATAAGGTAAGTTGAAACGGAAGAACATTCAGTTGTTCGAACTCAATAAGATCTTTTCAATGAGATATATTATCTATACCGCTTGAAATGAAATAACATACAGTAAAATATAATCAACTCAGAGACTTAGCCTGTTTTGTGTAAATAGAACATAAATGGAGTAAATATAGTCTATTTCAATTCTCGCAGTAAAAGGTATGAATCTTATAATATTTTGTTAACAAAGTCTCAATATAATACAAGTGCTAGACTTTAAAATTTCATTCTAATGAGATATAAAATGTCTTAAGGGGATAAAATATACCAAGATTTGTTCAAATCAAATACTGTTTGCTTTGTAGGTAGGCCCACTTAGGTGAGGGGGCATTTCCCCTCATTTCTTACCAACCTCAGGTGTACGTGTAATCATCTTTTATTATTTTGTAATTGAAGTCTGAATACTAGTTTTGGAACTCGATAAAATCTTTCCAACGAGATCGAAAATGCTTGAAACGGAAGAACATAAAGAAAGATACTCGTATGACTAAGGATGTTTTAGTTGGACTGTTTTCAGTACCAGACCAGATCAAACTAGACCAGACCAGATTTGGATAGTAATAAAATACACAGAGACCAGACATTTACCAGATTAGTTCAGACCAGATCAGATCAGACTAGACCAACAAATTTAGTCCAAGTAAAAACATCCTAAATCAAATACATGACCATTTTTGTAAATATACTATATCTAGAGTAAATAGAGTCTGTTTAGAGTAAATATGATGTAATACTTGAGATCAATTTAAAGGATTAACAGTACTACTCATATCAGCAATGTGCATCTCTTTTTAAGGGATCTCATCGGCTAAGAACTCCAAGTTAAGCGTGCTTGAATGACAATAGTCTTGCGATGGGTGACCCCCTGATAAGTTTCTCAGAACGCTCACCAGTGAGCACAAAGTGTGTGGTAAAGACTTTTGTTGGTTTGTGAGGACATTACTAGAGGTCTCGATGGCAAAAACATCAAGACATGATCAATTCAAATACTACACCATTTCAGATTCAATTCGAATATGGTTTTAACTTTCAAAATAATACGTACCAATCTGATGGAGTATATGGCCCGGGAACCCCCGGCCCACAGACTCCTACTACTCCATCGAAGGCCCAACAGGCCTAACAGGCCCAAATCACAGCGCCCAGAGTACCAAGCAGCCCGCACTACGTGCCAGGGGTGCCTCCGGCCCCCTGGCCGAAGGGTCTAAAACTCTCACAGAACGGGTTTCTCAAGCAAACTAAGAAACTGGGAGAAAATGGCGAAAACAGTAGCCCTCGGTACTGTGAGCCCTCGGCGCCAAGATGCCCTCGGTTGGGGGAGCCTTCGGCTACTGCTCTATGACCGAAGGCATCTCACTCGACAAGATATCCGCCTCACATGCGTACAGATCACCGTACTCTGCACAAACGTCCCATCCAACAGCCGCATTAAATGCGGCCACATGCGGCTGCCAGCGCCAACCAGTTGAGGCGACCCCTCGGCCAATAAGCGCTTGACACGTGTCCCTGCCTGGCATTTATTGCTACTATAAATAGCCCCCCTTTTTCCCCATTTGTAACCAAGTCGGAACACGCTGAAAACACTCCACATTTATAATACTCTCTCTCTCTACGTTTACCTGCTTTGACTTCTCTCTAAATTATTCCCCGTAATAACCCTTCGGATATATACCCCCGGGCAGACTATCCATCATTTGGTGCTCTCGTTGAGAGGTTGAACGATCAAGTAAGAAACCCTCCCCCTCGACCAAACACAAACACTAGCCCTCTATCAAAATGGTGAGGACAACACGTGCCAACTCAAAGAACGTAGAAGACAAGAACCTGCCCCTCGGCGACGTCAACGCCCCCGAAGCCTCTCATAGGGCTCCCGAGGGCGGTGTCCTCGCTGGGCTGGAACGGGCGGCTGTCGACCTACGCCTTCAGATCCAACAAAACGCCCCCGATGCCCGCCTCGGCATCGAGGCCAAGAAGAAAAACCGGAGCGATGACCAAGTCAGCCCTCCGGTTCTCACCATCGACGTACAATCGGCGCTCTCCGCCTTCATCCAAACGCTCACCCAGAACCCGGGTGCCTTCGGCACCCTGGCTCCAGCTCACCCTCAGATCAGGGAAAATATCATACTTCCCCCTCTGCCACACCCCTTCGGAAATCCCACCCCTCGGGTGAGAAACGACGAAGGGGTGGTGGCCCAAGATACATCCTCCCAGGAAGTTCAGTCCCGGGACCGCCATAATGAGAACAGGGAGAGGCCCCGTACTTCCGCCCTCAACCGGCTCGGAGGAGGGCCAGACCGCCGAGGGGTCCAAGACCGCCTCGGGGGGAAAGCACTCCAAAGGCCCCAGGAAAGCGGGGGATCTGTTTCGAGGGCAGACGAGGAGCGTCCCCCTCGGGACAAAGGCAAGGCACCCCTTCATGCCGATGATGCCCGGCACCAAATCAACCAGGCCCACTCGGCCCGGGTTCGTTCGCAGGGGGCGGAGACCCTCCCGAGGGATCCCCGGGACGAGATTATTGCGGCCCTCCAACGCCGGCTCGACAAGATGGAGTCCAACAAAGCTCACGCCACCACCTCCACCCCTCACTCAGACCTCAAATACGAGGCCATGATGGCCAAAATGGAGGAATTACAGAAGAAGGTGGCCGAGGGCTCCGGGGAACCCGTCATTCAGCTCCGGACTCGGACGCCATTTACCCCAAGGGTATTGGCGGCCCGGATCCCGGAAAAATACCGAGGGCAACACATACAG